TCTTGGGAGCTAAGCTGAATCAGGCCAGGCTAGTACTTAGATGGGAGAAAATGTTCAGGCATCTATTATTGGTGGTGGTCAACAAGAGTTGATACAGTGTCTCCTTGGGAAGTGAACCTGATTAATATTAGTGAGGAGAAACTACTTTCAGAATAAGAGTAAAGACTTAAATGCATTTATTAGAAAGGAATATTTTGGCTGGGCACTGGTGGCTCACAACTATAATCCTAACTACTCAGAAGGCTGAGATCTGAGGCTCATGATCTGAAGCCAGCCCAAGTAAGAAAGACCATAGACTCTTTGTTTTTTTTTTTTTAATTTTAATTTTATTTTTTAATTGTGAAAATACTGTACAGAGGGGTTACAATTACATGGGCAAGATAGTAAATACATTTCTTATCAAACATTGTAGCCTCCTCCTTTGTTTCCCCTTCCCATTCCTTCCCATCCTCTCCCTACCCCCCCCCCATCCTCCTCCCCCCCCCCATCAAAGTTGTAAAAGTTCGTTTTTCCACATAACGACTTGTACATCTCATTGTTGCAATGGATCCACCTGTATCCCTATTTAAACGATTTGTTTTTTCCCTTCCCCTCCACAAATTATACCAACCTCAAATACAGTGAAAGCAGGGGTTATACTGTGGGGGAGGGACATACAAAGCAACAAAGAAATAATCTTATAAATGTGTGAGAAACAATCACCTGAAAGAAAAAAAAACATTTGAATACATATCTTAGGGTTCATTTCCCTAACATCACCTTATCTGACCTTTTCTGCTTGACTCAGACATATACTATTTATTGCAAATAAGGGAAACCATGGGACCTAAGTTTCTTTGGGCTTGGCTTACTTCACTTATCATAATTTTTTCCAAGTCTTTCCATTTCCTAACAAATGGGGCAATGTTACTCTTTCTGATGGAGGCATAGAATTCCATTGTGTATATATACCACATTTTCTTGATCCATTCATCTACTGAGGCTCTTACCTCAAATTAACTACCCAAAAAACTGGAAGTGGAACTGTAGCTTAAGTGGTAGAGCACTAGCCTTGAATACAAAAGCTCAGGGACAACACCCAGACCCTGAGTTCAAGCCTCAGTACCAGCACACACACACAGGAAAATAAAGGAAGATTTAAAATAAGGTAAAGGAAATGTGTTTTTAACTCTGGAAACTTCATCAAGACTAAGTTAACACAAAGCTGGTCTAAGCAAAGTAATGAAGGAAATGTAGTTATTATAAAAAATTGAATTGGGTAACAATTCAGAAACAAGCTCATTACAAAGACCAGCCAGGAAGACAACAGACCAGGAATGAAGAGGAAGCATACATACAGATACATAGTTTATAATATTACAAAGGAAAACATAACTTAGAAAAAGGTAAAAGTCTGACATGAACTAATAGCTTAAATAAAATGGAAATGTTAACTCAGGGCTTTTCTTCAGCTAAAAAGGCATTGAGGCCCAAGTTTCAGGATATAGAAAAATACAGGGAGCCATTCATCTAATTGTCTGATCTTGACACATCAGATAAAGCTTAAGAAGAAAATTTATAGTCTATCCCAGAGAAGGGGGAGGGGGGAAGAGAAAGGGAGAGGGACACAGAAAGGAAAAGCTGTAAATATTATAAAAGATAGCTAGCTAATCATTTGCATACATATTATGACTTCAGAAAATTCAGGAGAGTCAGTTGGAAGTTGTAGAACTAATGAGAAACTTTAGTGCAATGCGACACATATGAATGAGATCTCTGGTCTCACAAACTTGCAGCAGGATTGTTTCTCATGCTCAAACTAGTTCTGGTAGCTTTTCCTCTCCAGAAACCTCCAAAGGAGGATTAGATAAAAAATGCATTTAATATGCAATTGAGGAACTTAAATCTGATCTTACAGCTGATATGATTATTCTACAGTTGCATTTAGTATATAATGATGTACGGAAAGAGCAAATACCACTGAGAAGAATGGAATAGAATTTTATAATGCTCTCCAGGCAATTTAAAAGCATGTGCTTGTGAGTTCATTCAAAATCCTAATACATAATTGACAGATGAGTACTTTTTATTTTGGTCATAGAGAATACTCATTTTGAATCTTAAGGGAAATATTACCTCAACTCTCCCCAAATCCTACTCTTTTCATTGGTAGACTTGAATTATCAGAAAAAAAGTAGTACTGTTATATTTTGAATTTCATCAATAAAAAAGAATCTGTAGCCAGTGGCTCACACCTGTAATCCTAGCTACTCAGGTGGTCAAGAGCAGAGGACCATGGTTTTGCAGCTAGCCAGAGCAGGAAAGTCTATGAGACTTTTTTTTTTTTTGTCCAAGGGCTTGAACTCAGGGCCTGGGTGCTGTCCCTGAGCTTTTCTGCTCAAAGCTAGCACTCTACCACTTTGAACCATAGCTCCACTTCTACTAGTTTTCTGGTGGTTAATCAGAGGTAAGAGTCTCATGGACTTTCCTGCCTGGGTTGGCTTTGAACCATGATCCTCAAATCTTAGCCTCCTGAGTAGCTGGATTACAGATGTGAGTTACCAGCACCCAGATAGTCTGAGACTTATGTCCACTAACCTACCATAAAAACCAGAAATGAAGTTGTGGCTCAAGCGATAAAGTGCTAGTCTAGCATAAAGGAAGCTCAGGGACTGTGCCTAAGCTCTGAATTCAAGTCTCAGGACCAACACCAAAACAAAAAAACAAAAGTCTGTGATTGTTTTCTGTCATTATAAAACTATTTGGACAATATCCTTGTTTTCTTCTTGGTCTCCAAAGCCTATGGTATTTACCACCTAACCTTTCTCAGGAGGAAAATAAAGTGAGATTATTGCCCTCTCCTCCAGCCACTTATCCTATACCAAGCTGTATCTTTTTTTTAAATCTAAATCTTAATCTCCTCTTGTTCCTTCCCCCTTCTCCTACTTTCCTTCTTGTCATGCCTTTGCGACTTAATACATGTGCAATACTGACACATTTGTAAGTAGTTCCTGCTCACCATGGCTTCATGTCACATCCTCCTGCTCAAATTTCTTCATGCAGACTTGCCTCAGTTACCTCATAGCGGGAAAGGAAGCATCTGAGCATTTGAAAGGACCATCTGGGAAGTCTGAGAGTCACATTCAAGGAGATGGAATAAACTGAGAGTTTGACCAGAAACCCACCTTATTTTTGAATTTATTACATATGTTTCTGACCAATCATGGTAACAGAAAATTCAGAAAGCATTTAAATTTCTGCATGTACCTTACGCAGCTCAGTTGGTGCAGAGAAGTTCTCATCCAGTCCCAGGCTATTGACAAGTATATTTAAATGTTGCACTATTGCTGTTTCCCTGCCCTCAATTTTGTTTTTGTTTTTTTTTTTAAAAAGCAAATAATGCTTGGAAAGCAAAGTAAAAATTAGAGTAATCCTCCCAAGTCAAAAAGGACACACATGTGCTTCATTAGTTGAAGGATAAAGTGAGTAGTTTAGATCTGTTGGAAGCTCTGTGTCCTTAGTGGAAGTATGCTAGATGTCATTATGGAAAAAACAGACTCAAGCCTGAAGTACAATGCAAGTTCTATGCTCCTGAGCAGTTGCTGTTTTCCCTCAGTGGTCTTCTTGGAACCATACACCCTCAGATACCAAGGGTCTACTTGCATATTGGTACACATTTTAAGTACTCAGCTAAAATGTACAGTTCTGGTTCTGTTGTGAACATCCCACAATAGTACAGGTAAGCCAAGCCCAGCAGTATGAAAAATTGCAGGATGGCTCTTTGATGAATTCTGGCTTTGTGCTTTTCCGTGGTACCTTGCCAAATCAATACTTGTTATGTGCTGTGTGTCGTTTCAGTCACTCTTATCCTATTTAGCTGATCTTTTGTCTGTAGGTGTTTCTGCATGAGGAATCTAGGAATAGGGGTGCATTTTTCCAGCCACATACTTGGGAGAATGCACTGTAGGTACAGTTATGTAGGTGAATTAGCGTGCATGAAATTATGTTGGAAAACATGTTATATTTTACTTTTCTGGTAGTTTCTTACGCATGGATTTCCTTGTGTACTTCTATGAAAGTTATTTTAAATCTCCCTCTAAAGTTTCTGGATTATGAAATGTTGAATGTTACATCTGCACTAAAGATCTTTAGATGTGACTCAGTGGTAGAGTGCTTGCCTTGCATGCATGAGGCCCTGGGTTTGATTCCTCAGTACCACATAAGCAGAAAAAGCTGGAAGTGGCACTGTGGCTCAAGTGGTAGAGCATTACCCTTGAGCTGAAGAGCAAAGGGACAGTGCCCAGGCCCAGAGTTCAGGCCCCATGACCAACAAAAAGAAAAGAAAAAAGATCTTTAGATGTCAAAGCATTTTTGATTTTTGGAACAGAAGTGCTCCACTCGTAGCATTAAAATGATTTGGGCCGAGCACTGGTGGCTCACGCCTGTAATCCTAGCTACTCAGGAGGCTGAGATATGAGGATCGAGGTTCAAAGGTAGCCAGGGCAGGAGAGACCGTGAGACTCCTATCTCCAATAAACCACTAGAAAACCGGAAGTGGTGCTGTAGCTCAAGTGGTAGAGCACTAGCCTTGAGCTGAAGAGCTGAGGGACAGCGCCCAGGCCCAGAGTTCAAGCCCCACAACCAACAACAACAACAAAATGGTTTGACAGTTACTCCCTGTATTATTGGATGTTACTGTTTGGCTATCAGTAATACCCAATATTTCTTGTTTTTCTTGAAGTCATATTAATCCTATTTCTGTTTTCTTCAGAGAAACTCTGTAAATTGTACCTACCAAACTACTGAACTTTGAATTTGGGTTGAGTTTTTTGGGGGTGCGGGGATGGGGAACATTTTTATCCCAAATAAATGATGAATTAAATATTAATAAATGATGAATCAAATAAATGATGAATATTCTGTGTCTAGTCTTTATGCTTAAATTAACATTTTTAGCAACTTACAGAGCATTTTCACTTAACTGCAGTCAATTTAGTTCTTTGTGTTCTTCCTCTTGTTAGCCCCTGAGGATGACTCACTGCTGCTGCTTCGAGCAGAGCTGTGCTTAATCATGAAGAACTATGAGCAAGCTCTGCAGGATGCTGATGTGGTTTGCCGGAAGGAGCCTCTCCTGACTAAGGTACTTGGTGTCTGTTGGCTTTGGAGATGCATAGTGTAAGTTTATGGAGAATAAGGCATCATAATTATTATCAGGTACCTGCAGACAGTGTGTATTCCCTCCAGATTCCCTCCAGTAGTCTCTGTTTAGTAGTCCATCTGGTACTAACCCAACCCAATTTTTAAGACCCATGTCTCCAACTGGATTTAAATAAGAAACACTGATTTTGATTATCCTTAGTCGTTATTTAGCTGAATAATAGGCCCAATACATTAAAAATATGCATTATATACACTGTGAGTGAAGAGGAAATGTTAATGAGTTATTTAATTACTAAAATATAATTTGAGCTGGAAGATTGTATAAGGGCTGTTGATCCCTGACATACATAGGAGACAGGGGTGCCAGGGAAAGAGTTAACATTTTCTGTGTACCTTGGGCTTAGTGTCATTCTTGGCTTTTGGTCAGAGAGGCCTAATACTTCTGATCATACAAAATAAACTTTGCCAATCTCATAATGGCAGTGGAAATTATGCTTAAATATTAAGAACCCAGGGAACAAAAATAGTTTTTCCTTGAATCTTTGGCATTTAAACTTGTATAAGAAAATTTGAGTTTTACTACTGTGCTTGTGGGCTCATAATTCAAAATATTTATTATCATGCCATATTACATTATTACCTTTTAGAAACATTGAAGTGACATTAGCCCAGGTAATAGCCAAGCTGTGTAGCCTTCCCTCCCTCTCTTCCTCCTTTCCTTCCTTCTTGTTTGCTAGTATACTTTTAAACAAAATGTTTTAGCCTAAGCACAGTGGCTCTTTTTTGCTCAAGGCTAACACTCTTAACACTTTAGCCACAGCTCCACTTCTGGTTTTTGATGGTTAACTGGAGATAAGAGTCTCATAGACATTCTTGCCTGGGCCTGCTTTGAACCATGATCTCAGCCTTCTGTATAGCTAGGGTTACAGGTGTGAGCCACAGACACTCAGCTCAGTATGCAACTTATAATTGAGGAATTTAAGACCATTTGCATTAGTGTTACTGTGACAGAGTTGTCGTAATTTCTTTCTTAGACGTTTGCTATTTTACTTATTTGATTCCTTCTCAGTTCTCATTTGTTTATTCTTCTGATGATACATATTTTTCCCAGCTCTCTTCTTAGTGTGTGCAGTTTTCCTTAAGTATCTTCTGCAGTGCTGGGTTAATGGTTACATACTGCTTCAGTTTATGCTTGTTACATAAGTCTATATATCTCCTTTGATTTTAAAGGATATCTTGGTTCTAAGTTACTTTGTTTCAGGAAATAAAACTAGAAGTCAACAAATAGGCCTCAGAAAGTACAATCATTAAAGAAAAAAGTTGGCAGATTGCACTTCATCAAGTTAAAAACTGCTTTTCAAAATAGTTATAAAAATGAAAATCATAAAATAGAAAATATTTGCAAGCGTATATGTAATAAAGTTGTCATACATACATACACGCATATATTAGCATATATAAAAAGTATTACCCATTTAGCAGCCAGCCAAGCCAAATAATGGGCATGTAATTTGAGTAGATACTTTACTACTGAAAATATATGAATAACAAAAAAATAAAAGATGTTGCACACCATTAGTCGTCACGGAAATGCACACTAAAATCTCAGGGAAGTACCGCAACAGACCCACTAGAACAAAGAGACTGGTGATCCTAACTCCTTGTTAGATAGTGGAAAAATATTTCTCAAATTATTTCTTTGCTGTATTGAAGGTTTCTATTGTTTGCAGAACTTTTTGGTTTGATGGAATTCCATTTGCCAATTTGTACTTTTGTTGCCTACACTTTGGGGCCATATCCAAAAAAACTCTTTGCCTGGGTGCTGGCGGCTCATGACTGTAATCCTAACTACTCAGGAGGCTGAGATATGAGGATTGCAGTTCAAAGCCAGCCTAGGCAGGAAAGTCAATAAGCCTCTTATCCAATTAACCACCAGAAAACCAGAAGTGACACTATAGCTCAAAGTGGTAGAATGTTAGCTTTAAGCAAAAATTGTTTAGGGACAGCTCCCAGGTCCTGAGTTCAGAAAGTCCACAACTGACCAAAAAAAAAAAAAACCCCAAACACACCAATTTGCTCAGGTCAATGTTCTAAGGCATTTTCACCATGCTCATGTTTTCTCCTAATAGTTTCTTGGTTTCCAGTCTTACCTTTAAATCTTTAACCTATCTTAATTTGTTACTTGTAAATGGCAAGAGATAAGGTTCTTTTTTCATCTATGTGTGAATATCTAGTTATCTCTTTCCTTCCCACTGTTTATTAAAGAAACCATTCTTCTCCCATTGTGTCAAAACTCAGTTCATCCTGAATGCATGAGGTTATTTCTGAGTTCCCTTTTCTGTGTCATTGGTCTATATATCTGTTTTTATGCTACCATCATGCTTTTTAGTGACCATAGCTTTGTAGTATGTTTTGATGTCAGATAGTTGTTTTTGCTTAGCAATGATTTGGCTGCTCAATGTCATTTGTGATTCCATCTGAATTTTATAAATTCATACAAATATGTCAAATGAAAAATAAACAATAATAGTCACCTGATGCCAGTTTCATCTTAGAAGATCCCTCAGAACTGCTTTTGGCAGTTCCAGCAGTGGAGACTCCAATGTTCTGATTGTAGATTGAACTTTTAAGACATTGAAATTTACCAAGACAGGGAGACACGGTGCACCTGTCACCATCCTTGATGGGTTTTGTTTATTTTACTTAATTTGAAGTTAAAACAAATAGTTTGAACAACTTTCCCAGTTGTGATCAGGTATGGATAGTTATTCTGTGGTTTAAAATGCATGTTTTGTCTTTGGGTGAAATCAGGGACACCACCTAAAAGCCCAGGCTCTGTCTGGATTGGGACGAAGTAAGGAAGTGCTGAAGGAATTTATCTATTGCCTCGCTTTAAATCCTGAATGTAACTCAGCGAAGAAAGAAACACAGAAGGTATGATTTCTGATGACTGACTTTCTCCCTCAAGTTTTAACTCCAGCCTTTGTAAAACCAACAAATAGAATTCTGAATGTTCGTGATACTGTGATTAAAAACATAATAATGATACAGTTCATACATCTGACAGTTTTGTGTTGGAGGCTGCATTTCCATCCATGAGTACAGCAGAATGTTTCATGAGATAGCATAGACCCATCTCAAGTGTGGACAAATAATAATATACTTGAGTGAGGCCAATTATGGCAAAGTGAGACTAGGTGAGGTGAGGGAAGCAAAATGTTTTTCTATAGTTTGCAATTTCAGGTGCCATGTACACAAACCATGGTTTGTGTAGAAATCCAGTAAAAGACATTGTGATGATATGAGGTGATACATCTGTTAGCCAGATTTAACCATCGTACAATGTGTTTATATTTCAAAACATGATATAAACAATAAAATCATAATTGCCTGTCCCCCCAAAAGACATTGTGGTATATATAAAAGGTATCAGTTTGGCTTGACTCATATTTTCAGTGAATCCTTGCCAGCATGTTGTAGAAATCTGCTCTCGTATGTAATCCTCATTGAATTACACTTAATGTAAGAAGTCCTTTTTCTTTTCTATGTTGGTCCTAGGGCTTGAACTCAGGGCTTGTGTGTTGTCTCTGATCTTTCTTGCTCAAAGCTAATGCTCTGCCACTTGAGCCACAGTTCCATTTCTGGCTATTTGGTGGTTAATTGGAGATAAGAATCTCACAGACCTTCCTGCCTGAGCTGGCTTTGAACTATAATCTTCATATCTCAACCCTCCTGAGTAGCTAGGATTATAAGCATGAGCCATTGGCACCTGGCTGAAAGTTCTTAAAGTACTTCCAATGACCAGGAGTTCTGTTTTTATATTTGACTCTCTCTATTTTAATGTGAATGCTATCATATATCTAGTCTGTAATTTCTGTTTGTCATCAGCTCTAAAGCAGTAGTTAATCAGTTCTTCCTTCTGCAGTTCAGAGATTCAGGTATTTGAGAATAGCTATTTCCTTTGCCTCAGTTCATTCTTTGAGGCAAACATGCTTTTCTCATAGGACAGGGCGTTGGGTTTCCTTCTCTGGTTGCACTCTTGCAAGGCCCACATCTCTTCTTGTCTGTCAGCCACGTGTAGCAACCTTGGCCTTGTCAGGGTTCACATAGGAAGGTGGACTTACTTTCAGCATCCCGCTGTTGGAACTGTAGCTAGTTAAAATACCTAGGTGTTGTTTCTTTCTTTTTTTTTTTTTTAAAAACCAATTCCTACCGCCGGTATCTTTTCTGGTAGGAAGTAAAGTGGAATTTGTTCATCCCTTTTGATTTAGGATCATTGGTTTCTGACCATCATTCCTACCTGTTAAAATAATATTTACCCTGGAATCAGCTCTCTGCCATCCACGCCTGCTCAGCCCCACCTGAAAATTTCATAAGAACAGTAAAACATGTATCTCAACTAATCCTTATACCAGTGTTTTTTAAAAAGCCCTAGCTTGGATGAAGCATGTTTACAAATGTCCTAGAACCAGAGTTTGCGTTTTGTAGATTCTTGTCTAGATTATCTAGTGTGTTTTTTTTTTTCCTTTTTCTGCTGGTACTGGGTCTTGAACACAGGGACTCATCCTATCACTGGACAGTTTTGATCATGGCTTGTGCTCTACCACTTGAGCTATACCTCCAGTCTAGCATTTTTGATGGCACATTTTTCTGCCTGAGCTAATTTTGAATTGAGATCATTCGGGTAATAGGGTCCTGAGTAGTTAGTGTTGCAAACATGAACCTTAGGCCCTTGCTCTGATGCTTTATTAATGGCTGGTAGACATAATTTATCACAGATAGTTCCAAAAACTGTAGCCCATTCATACTCATGTAATATGATCCATTCCCTGCAGCTCTGCTGAAGCTGCTTAGTCCCTGTTAGGACCCTTTCTCCCAGGCCACAGGAGAGTGTTTTGCTCACTGCTTCAGCGTCTTTGGCTTGTCACACTCGCTGTAACATGAACAGCAGGAGGGTATTTTGTTTATTGGTTTGGTTTGGGTTTTGAAGACTTCACTGTCTTCTTTTTTCTTTCTTGAAGCTCTTGGAAACAACTGAGGCCATGAGGTTTGGAAGAACCACCTGTGTCAGCCAGAATGCCCACCTGACAGTTGCTTTCTTGGTGCTGGGAAAGAGTTCTTGAACCAGAATTCTGGCCCCTTGCCTCCTCTCATTTAGAGTTCTTTACCAGGTGGCTCTGCTGGTTCGGTCGTAAATGGAGCTGTCCTCTGGAAATATCTCAATCCCATGAGTGATTTACAGCTTAGATTTAATTAATCTCAGAGCCCCTAGAATCTTCAATCCCCATTTTTCTCTTTCCTGTGAGACTTTTACATGGAAGGTTTTGTATAACAGGTGGGGACCAGACAAGAAGAAATTGAAATGTTCCTATTTTGTCATTGGTAAGATTAATGAAAGAGACTGGAAGCTAAAATGGTTAAGACATGGACTATATTAAAAAATGTTTGTATTTTAGAAGGTGGATAGTTAGAATTATGGTAATTTTTCTTTCCAATTTTATAGGCCTGTCTGGCCACATTTTCCTCTTGAAAACATGCTATAGATTTTTTTTTCTTCCAAAGCATTTTAAAATACATTCCCTTTTCTTGGTATTTTTATAGGTAATATGTGAAGTGTTTTTTCCACCTTCAGAAAACACAAATCAAAACTCGACCTCTTGCACCCATGGCAGATACAAAGCTCACTGTGATAGCCAGACAAACACCCAAGTGGAAGAAGACGATGACCCAGGGAGCCCTGGGGTATGTAGTATGGAGAGGAGTCCTGAGTGGATTATAGTGTGTGTGTGTGTGTGTGTGTGTGTGTGTGTGTGTGTGTGTGTGTGTGTGTGCACGCGCATGTGTGCGTGTGTGTGTGTGTGTGTGTGTGTGTGTGCATGCACACGTGCACACACGAGAAAGAGACAGTCCTGAGTGAGGGGAGCAATGCATATGTGAGTCCCGAGTGAGGTACTCAGAATGTATTTGTCTGTCAGCATTATCTTGAGTAAGCTTTGAATAACTGGTCTGTGTTAAATTTTTCATAAGTTATGGAGACATTTGGCACTAGATAGATCTTAAGTGTTTCTCAATAGTAGTTAAAACTTTTCAATGAATTCATTTGGGACTAGTGAGACTGAAAGAATCTCTTTTAACACTTCCATACAAGTCAGTTCAGAGGCCTGAGAAGATTTTGGCTTGGAGAAAAGAAAGAGGGATGATTTGTTTATAAGATACAAGAGGGATGATTTTGAGTATAAGATACATAACAGATATTTCTGTGTATATTTTATTATATTTTATGTGTGTGATAGTGTTTATGTTGTCCCAGACAGAAATTATTCTGTGATTTACCATGCAAAGGTTCAAGTGCATCTTACCAGTTGATAGATAATGAAAAAAGAGTAAAAGCCCTCCTCTTTTCCAGAACTTTCTAGAACAGGCTTCTGCATGCATGATTTTTTTCTTGTATGCTGTGATTTCTTGAATATTTAGGATTCTTTTTTCCTACTTAATTAGAACTCATCTGAGAGAGTTGATATGTTTAGAAATACAAATTCTTCGGTTTTATATTTTATACTGGGACTGCACTTTGAAGAGGATAAAAAAGCATTAGAAAATGTCATCCCAGTAGCACCCAGCACTGGTTTAAAGAGACAGCTTCCCAGTGACATGGAGGATGCGCACGGCCTCCCTGGGAAAATTCCCAAGAAAGGTAGGTGAGCATTTTGTCATGGTGTTGTGTGCGCTAAAGGGATAGGATGTTAGCCAGTAGTTTATCTATTTTTTTTAATTATGCAAGTAATAGTAATGATGAGTCTATTACCTGTGGATATTTGAGATAGCTGGTATCACAAAAATTTCAGATTCCTTAATAGAGAAAGTTTTGGCTTAATTTTCACTTTCGTTCTTCTCTATCCATAAAAGTTGGTATGAATTAACTAGACAGGAAAACATTCCTCCCCAGCATGGTTTTGTTAAACTGATATAACACATTTGTGTCCAGCAGAAGAACGCGCACTGCATACTGTTACTCACATGTTAATTGTAACATTGAAAATTCTTCAGATGCAGATTGCCCACCTCAGAGGACTGTGATTTCTAAGATGGGAGATGATCTCGAAGACTTTACTGTTGACATGACTGACTTTGAGTGTGCCCTTTGCATGAGGTAGGATGCTACAGAGTCTGTACAGCTCTGAAAAATATTAGCCTTTCTAAGTTGCATACCTAAATAGAACGTGCTTCTTATTAGGGAAATAACATAAACATTCATGATTTATTTTTTTTTTTTTTAAAATTTGAGGAAGGCTGGGAATGTGTCATAGTGGTAGAATGCTTGCTTAGCATGTATGAAGCCCTGGGTTCGATTCCTCAGTACCACATAAACAGAAAAGGCCAGAAGTGGCCCTGTGGCTCAAGTGGTTGAGCACTAACCTTGAGCAAAATAAGCTCATGGACAGCCCCCAGCCCTGAGTTCAAGCCCCAGGATTGGCAAAAAAAAAAAAAAACCAAAACCCCCCAAAAATTTGTGGAAGATGTAAGAGGGGTATGGAAATAAATAATATCCAGAATAGAAAAGGAAGTTCATAAGGCATCCTTCTAATGTTGATAAATTCTATGGAAGTCTCTTGTGGACATGCCTTGCTGAAGGTACACATTTCCTTTCCAGGTTGCTCTTTGAGCCTGTCACTACTCCTTGTGGACATACATTCTGCCTGAAATGCCTTGAGCGCTGCCTGGACCATGCTCCACACTGCCCACTGTGCAAAGACAAGCTTTCTGAGGTAATTGTGAAGGGACAATTTGAAGTGACAAGGAGGTACCCTACACAGCCTTGGCGGACCTCCTTTCACATCCTGCTTTGCTTTTGTCTGGTTGTTAAAGTTAGAGCCGCTAAAGACAGCTCAGTTCCCACCTTTCTGATTAATCACAATTATACAAGGAACATTTAGGTACAGAAGTAGCTAAATTTCAAGAAAATTTTCAGGTTGTACATTGTAGTTGAGGTATATTATAAATAGCATATCTGTTACAAATATTTGAGAAAGGATATAACTCATGCCCTATGAGCTCTTCTGTACCTCATCTCAGTTGGGGACCGAATCACTCCTAACTGTGCCTCAGCAACCTAAATACCCTTATAATATCACTTGACCTGAGATCAAGATCAGTGGAACTTATTAGGGCCCACACAGAAGCTACTTCTATAACTGTTAAGGATATTCTCATTAGGTATGGTGAGAAAATGAACAATATTTAAAAACAAGGCTTTTTTCTGGCCATTTTATCAAATAGTATGTGCTCCTGTGTACGGGGTGCCTCTACACATGGAGCAAACCGTTAAAGCTCTTGTGGGGATAGAAAAACCTTCTTTTTCATCCATAAGATGAAACTAACAATATTTGCCATAATTGTCTCCCCGAAATTAAACTGTACTCCTTCTTTAGAAAGATAAAGTTTATTGTTTCTTTTAACAAATATGTAGGAAAATGCTGATGATTATTATTGGTGCCGAGGATTGAGGCTAGATCCTTGTGTGTACTAAACATATTATAACTTTAGTTGCACCCTGTAGCTCTCAGATTCTTTTTCTTACCTATAAGAAGAGGTATATAGTACTTGAGCAAATTTTTAAATAGTTAACAGCCTTTTAATTTATTGCTAAAACTTGTTAAAAGTAAGTTGGTGCAAGGCTAGGAACATGGCCCAAGTGGCAGAATGCTTGGGAGGCCCCTAAATTCCCAACCCCTGTTAAAAAATAGTTGTTGAATTAAAACCTTGCTAAAATATCCATGCTTCCTTGGTTTATTAAGTCGCCTGCAGGGTTCTCATGTGATCAGCTATATTGTGATGCATCATATGTCATGGTGTCGGATACCTTCTCAGTCTATTCAGCAGGATTATTAGGAGGTGCCCTCTGCCAGTCCTCCTGATGTTGCTGTCTCTTCTTGCTGTCATGTTGCTCCCATCCTTGGCTGGAACAAGAGGCCAGGAAATGGTTCTTACTCTCATGAGCGTAGAAAGCACACACATATGTGATCACCATTCCTCACACTGACTTTATTTGCCTCCATGTTCAGGGCTGCTTTATCGTAGAAACATGCAAAGATGCAAAATCTGGGGAATGACTAAAGTCTTGTTTTTATTGTCTCTTGTTTTTATTTCCATGGTGGCCTAATCACCAAAACAGCCAAGCTTGTCAACTCCAGATCTCTTTTATAAAACCAAATCCTCAGGCCTGACTGAGTGCTAATTTAGGATTATCACCATGGCATCATTTTAACATTTCTTTTTTTGTTACAGTTGTTGGCAACCAGAAATTTTAATATAACTATACTGGCCGAAGAATTGATATTTCAGTATTTGCAAGAAGAGCTGTCTGACAGAAAGAGAATTTATGATGAAGAAATGTCAGAACTATCCAAGTAAGTGCTCACACTGCTTGTCCTTGGTGCCTAGTTCCGATTCAAGAAGACAGTCTGGTTAACCTCAACTTTGTCATTGATTGGGATTTTTTTCCTAATAGTTCTTTGATCTTTAAATAGGAGAAAATATTAACTGCAAAATATAAATAGATGTATAATCATAAGTATGAGAACTATTTCAAAAGCATATTTAAACAAAATTATATATTTGATTTTTATATCTAAATAAATGATACTAAGTTTTCCAGAATTGGAAAGGCAAAGTATGTAAGTCAAGAAACAGTTCTCGGGATAGTGACTTATCTAGACTTGACAGTTTTACAGCTTTTCAGATGATTGAAGTTTTATATATGGATCTCCTATTTAAAATTCATTACCTCTGACAGTGGTGCAGTTTTTGCTTTGATCAAAAGATTTTTTAGAGTAGTCAAAAGCTGTAAGTTTTCTAAGTACAGTAATTTAACAGTATGTTTTCTTAGATTTAAAGAAGACTTGGTAGACATCTGGGTGAGCAGAAAACATTCTCATGCCAATGGCTTTCCTTCCCCCCCCCCCCCCCCCCCAAGCAGTGACTCGGGTCTGAAGGTTTTGTTTTGTAAAAGAGAGAATTGGGGTTGGCTAGCTTTGGCTGTTGGGTGGCTCCCTTGTTTCTAACATATCTGACTTCACATTTGCCTTTGCTCTGCAGTCTGACCAGAGATGTGCCCATCTTTGTGTGTGCCATGGCCTTCCCCACAGTTCCCTGTCCCCTCCATGTCTTTGAGCCCCGGTATCGGCTTATGATAAGAAGATGCATGGAAACCGGCACCAAACGATTTGGCATGTGTTTATCTGCTGAACATGCAGGGTAAGAATTGCCAGAATCCCAAGGATAAGTGTATAACATGGTCTATTTTGAAGAAAATTTAGACTGATACTTGAAAATCTCTAGGATCTCCCATTATACCACGAAGACTCAGTTCAAGGCTATCCATAATGTGTCCTCTTCAGCCTCATTCTACTTGCTTCCAGTCATCATACTTGCTGGTCCAGTACCATGCTCATCATTCTCTGACTGTAGTTCATGGTCCCATATTTCCATTCTCCCCACAGCTTGCAGTTCTCCTCTAGCCCATCTGTCTGCCCAGAAATTTAAGGTCTAGCAGAATGGCTGTATCCTTAATGCAGCTTTTCTCTATCTTGCCGTGCATGTAGTTTTCAGTCTTACAAGAATCCACAGCATCTGGCCTTTTTTCCTGTTGTTTCTTTTCAGTTGTCTAGGGATAGTTTTAGGGGAGCAGGGCTGATTTAGGGATTTCAGATCTCCAATAATAAGGTCCCTTTCTATCCATTTGGGATTTGTCAGCTCTTCCTGGTGATGAGGTAACCACGTCCAAGTGCTAGATAGAAGGGGAAGCACATGTATTCAATGGATTCTGAACAAAAATGGCTAGCTCACATTTGCAAAGAAGGCTAGGAAATGTATTCTACATATGTGCCCAGGGTAGAGGAGAAAAAGATTTTTAGGGCCACCCAGTAATCTCTACCATAAATACCTAGGGAGGAACAAACTTTTTTAAAAAAATGGAAAAAAAAGACCTTTATGAAGAAACTTCAAAAACTATTGGAAGCTATTCAGGAAGCTCTAAATAAATATAGGGAAATGCCATGTTCATGATTGCAAAACTTATGAAAGACCTGGGAACATTCCAGAAGGGTTTTTTTTTTTCCCCCAGGTCCCTCTACTTTTTTTAAAAAAAATTATTGTCAAGGTAATGTACACAGGGGTTACAATTCCATAAGTAAGGTAATAAGCACATTTCTTGTCAAACTTGTTCCCCCTTCCCTCATTTTTCTCCTTCTTTCCTTTTCCCCATTCCCCCCCCCCCCGCCACACCCCCAGCTGATTGTCTTGTTTATATTGCTGTTGGCATTGGTTCCCCCCTTGTCCTTTGTGTCACCATTCTGTTGTCCCCCCCCTTCCCTTCCCTTCCCTAATTTAAGTAAATGTATATGCAATACCAGGGTACCAAAATCAAATATTGTGACAATAAGGGATATACCATAGGGGGAAGAACTTACAAAAGAAACAAAAAAATCACACAATACATTAAAAACAACAACAACAAAGAAAAACCTCTTTGTTGTGTCCTAAAGGATTCACTCAAGTTGGTTTTAGAATTGGTGTGGAGAGCAGAGGACAAGGCCAGATAGTTTTTAAAAAAAAAAACGATTCAGTGATAGAAGAGCTTTTCTATAACAGCAAGATTATAAACCATAAGTGGACCAATGAAGTACAATATAGAGATTATGAACAGATCTGTTCGGCTCATAAATGGACTCCAGATTTAAACATAATTTTATAAAAAAGACAAACTGCAAAAATGTGGTATCCACTGCCCAGAAGTTATAAATAATATATAATCTAAATAGGACAAAACAAAACATTCTTTCTCTCATATATATATCCCATAACATGCATATATATACACACCCATGTACATATAAATACACATATAGATGTCTATGTTTGTTCACACACCCACATATTTACCTTCCTAATTATGAAATGTGAAAAAGATAAACATTTAAAAAGAAACACTGGATTGTCTCTGTACAATTAGAAGAGGGAAAGGTTTTGTGGGGAGTAGGTGTTTTTTAAAATACATTTTTGGCTTGAACTTAGTAGAGCCTTGTACTTGCGAGACAGGTATCTACCACTTGAACAACACTTCCAACCTTAGTGCTTGTGGTTGCTTTTCAGATTTGTTCTGGCTATTTGCCTAGGGCTAGCCTTGGATTATGATCCTCCTACCTACAGCCTTCTGAGTAGCTGGAATGATAGATATGTATTACCTATACATGTATATATATATATATATATATACATAATATATATATATATATATATATACACACACACACACATATATACATATGTAATGTATGTAACAAGTCCTGGCTCATTTGTTGGGATAATGGATCTTGCTAACTTTTTTGCTTAGGCTGATTTTGAACTCCAATCCTCCTGATCTTTACCCTCTGAGTGGTGAGGATTACAGGCATGAGCCACTGTGCCAGGCTGGGAAAGATTCTTATGTAAAACGTTGACTGTATATAGCACAGAAGAGATTAATAATAAATAATAATCTTAAATTTTGATTCATCAATAGTCAGTGAAGGCCAAGTGAAAAAACAAAGCTACACAAACTCCACCAAGAATACAGAATGCTGAAAAGAATATTACTTTCACCAAAACAATATGAAAAACAACCAGCATAACCTTTCAGGGAAAAGGTAATCAGGAGGTAGAGACTTAACAAGTATGTGGGAAGAATGCAGTTAATTTAAACTACTTTTTATGATATCCCAAGGGCAGTGTGAGAATACCAGTCTGTTGGGAGCTACAGGCACAGGAGAATTTGCATCTCCCCAGGTTTTTGTCCACAGATAAGACAAGATGTTCCTGGATGTGACAGGCTCTGCTGCTGAGTAGACATGGAGCAGCTCTTTGAGGGTTGTTTGGTGATAGTTGTAAATCTGTTTTCTTTTCTTTTCTTTTTGGCTGGTACTGGGGCTTGAACTCAGGGCTCTTGATCTGTCTAGGCTTTTTTGCTCATGACTGGTACTCTGCTACTTGAACCACACCTCTACTTGAGGCTTTTTTGCTGGTTAATTGGAGGTAAAAGTCTGGCGGACTTCTTTGCCTGTGCTGGTTTTAAACTTCAATTCTTAGAGCTCAGCTTCATAAGGAGCTAGAATTATAATTGTGAGCCACTGGCACCCAGCCAGATTCTCTCTTCAAGGGCATCATTGAAGAGCTTCCATATACCCCATCGCTGTGGGCAGAATTACCTGTCAGACAACCAGGAAGGGGATGTATGAGCTGTCTATGTGGCATGTCCAGCAGGTACTTGGATGTGCAGACTTGTAACAGGAATAGTACTCATCTTTATTGTTGAAGATCTATCATAAAGATGATCACCATAAGAACTTTGGAAACAGACAAGTTAGGGTTGAAATCTTGGCTCTAAATCTTTTTATGCCATTAAATAACTTGTTTAACTTCTATAAGCCTCTGTGGTTTTGTGAGGCTTGCATGAGTTCTATAAGCTGCTCTGCACAGTGATTGGCTTCTGATTACTGGAGTGATGAGTGTGGGTAAGGTCTCTAGTGAGAGCTTTGGAGTGAGGATAGCTACAACCAAGGATCCCATCCTGGGTGGCCAAGTAGGGTAGGACCAGACCAATCAGAGGTAAGCAAAAGGGCAGTGGAGGGTGTTGACTCAGGATCAGATTAGCAGTCATGCTGTAAAGAGGCTAAATAGGAATATGCTCCCTGATTGTAGCCATGGGGAGGAGCTGTGAGCCTTGTTGGAGTCACCATGGATGGCACAGCAGGGCAGGAAGGAGTAAAGGGAAAAGGGAGATGAAGGCAGTGACTGAAGACCAAAGCCTGCTATGGTTTGGTCAGGGATGGCGGCACTGACCTGCATCAGTACAAGGGAGGTGAACCTTCAGGGCTAGAGCAGGAACACTGCTGTTCCCAACGTGAGGCCTGGATGCCTTGTGCTTTCTGGAATCCTTCTTGGGACTTGGCAACCAGGGCTGAGGAGCCGCATTTAAGATTCAGTCCCTCCAAAGCACTGGGTTTCAACTACTGAAGTCCAAGCCCTATCCTTGCCTGCCACAGCCGTCTCCTGTGTTTGTAGCACTGAACAAGAGTTGTTATTGACAAAGAGTTGCTTAGAGATTATAATCTTGCTGATGTCAGATAGTCAGGCCCTTTGTTTAGTCTGGATTTGTGTTCCTTTTAAAATGTGAGCCTTCTCTAGGAGAATATTAAGTCCCACTGTATTTGAAGTCATGACCATTTCTTCCCATCACCCTTTCAGGATTTCAGAGTTTGGCTGCATGCTGGAGATTAAGGATGTGAGAACTTTCCCAGATGGGAGCTCTGTTGTGGACGCCATTGGAATCAGTCGGTTCCGAGTTCTGAGCCACCGTCACAGAGATGGCTATAATACAGCAGACATTGAGTATCTGGAAGATGAAAAGGTAAACCTCATTTTACAGAGGTCTGACTCCTTCCTTCTTCATGGTGGAAAAACCTTATGAGATTTTTATTAACCGAGTCACTAATTTTCTGCTTAATTCTCCACATAAATTACTTACTCCCTATCAATTTTTGTGTGAGTTGGAGATGGTAGAGAAAAATACCTGATAAAAAAAAATAACCCTATTGTCCTTAGGGAGCATGTAAATCTACACATTACAAAATAAAAACAGGTTCCTAATTTTTTGTTTGCTATTCTAGCCTGGTGTATGTGGTGCAGGGTGTGGGGGAGGGGAAGGGGAATGCATCTTCTACAGAGGCATACGTGACCCTCTGCCCCTATGGTTCCATCCACTGTGGATTAAAAACATTACAAAATCAAAGTTGTATTTCTCTCACAATAAAAGGGGAAAACATTGTAGACTGTGTTGTTTTATAAAGTAAAAAGTTGTACTGTTCCAAATATAACTTATTTGAGTGATTAAATAAACCATGATCAATTGAATCTATAATTGCTGGGAGTGTAAACTTGTTCAACCACTTTAGAAAGCAGTATGGAGGTTCCTCAAAAGACTCCACATAGAGCTCCCTGAAGACCCAGCAGTCCCACTTTTGGGCATTTACCCAAATGATCACAAACAAGACCATACTAAAGCTACCACCACGACTATGTTTATTGCAGCATTATTTACCATACTTAAGATATGGAACCAGCCCAGATGCCCCTCAGTAGATGAATGGATCAAGAAAATGTGGTATATATACACAATGGAATTCTGTGCCTCCATCAGAAAGAATGACATTGCCCCATTTGTTAGGAAATGGAAAGACTTGGAAAAAATTATATTAAGTGAAATAAGCTAGGCCCAAAGAAACATAGGTCCCATGGTTTCCCTTATTTTCAATAACTAGTATATGTCTGAGACACACAGAAATGTTCAGATAAGTTGATATTAAGCGAAATGAACCCCAAGTTAATGACTCAAATGTTTTTTCTTTCTTGCTATTGTGTCTAACATATTTATAAGATATTTCTTTGTTGCTTTGTATGTCCCTCCCCCATGGTATAAGCCTTGTTTTCACTGTATTTGATGTTGATGTTGGTATAATTTGGGGAGGGGAAGGGAAAAAACAAATTGTTTAAATAGGGATACAGGTGGACCCATTGCACCAATGAGATGCACAAGATGTTATGTCAAAAATGAACTTTACAACTTTGGCGCAGGGGGGGAGGGGGAGGAGGGGTTGGGGGAGGGGTGATGAGTAGGGGTGGAGATGGGAAGGGATGGTAAAGGGAAACAAAGGAGGAGGCAACAATGCTTGATAAGAAATGCATTCATTACCTTGCCCATGTAATTGTAACCCCTCTGTACGGTATTTTCACAGTAAAGAGAAAAAAAAAGGCCATTCACCTGAACAAATACATACTCTATATAGAAATTAGAGGGCATTAATGTAAATTAATTAACAACTTTTTTTTCTCCATGGGACTACTTTTATTATCTAGAACTAAAGTTTAGAGTAGCTTTAAATAACAGAAATAGCAGTCATTTCCCAGCTTTACATTATAATTTATATGTTAATAATATACATCATGTGAATTACTGAACTGAATCCTAGAGGTAATAGAACTATTAATTGCATTTTCCAGATTAAAAAAAATCAGAGATGGGGGCTCACGAGTTAACAAGATGGTATTAGCAATTGTTTGGTTGGTTGTCTATTCTATATTTTGTTCTATTGATATTGCTTTTCATTATGTAATAGTAATAATAATGTTTCTTAAAATGTATGTATGATGATATATTTTGTCCTGATTTTTATTATTAACACTTTGTTGCTCTTAAAGATAAAAAAGAATATATAGTTGCATGTATTTATTGAAAATTATCCATACTATGTATGGAATGAATGCTAATATTTAAGAGTCTTAGAAAAAAATCAGGAAGCAATTAAAAGGACACAAGATTTCTACCCTCAGTGATTTTAATGAAGCAATAGTGCGTTATGAAAGCAATACATTCTGTGAACCCACTTGGCAGATGTGGAGTAAATCACTGGCTGTTGTGTGCGGAGGCCCATGTCTATCATGAGTTGCTGAATGCTTGCTTTTCCCTTGACCAGGTGGAGGGGCCAGAGTATGAAGAACTTACCACTCTTCACGATTCTGTGTATCAGCAGTCTGTGTCCTGGTTTTCTTCTCTCCAGGATCACATGAAAGAACAAATTTTAAGTCATTTTGGGGGAATGCCAGACAGGGAGCCTGAGCCTCAGGTATGTTATCCTTTTTCTTTTCTTTCTTTCTTTTTTTTTTTTCTGATGCTGCTATTTCCTGTTGTAATATTCTAGACATACCATTCCAGTGTATGCACAGTATGACAGCCCAGCATCATGTACTCCATGGGAATGCTTATGAACTGGTTCATTTATTGGCAGTCCAAAGAGGCATTAGTTAAGTGCCTAAGATCCAAAGGAGAACCTATAACATTAATGCTAACAGTACATGAAGACAATTTCCTTTGAACAAAAGTCACTTAACTCTGCTTGGTCTCAGCCTTCATGCCTTTTTATCTCCCATTAACACTAGGACTTAAATACCAATTTTTTAAAATCATATTGATGGCGACACTGTTTTGCACACGACAGTGCGTCACATCTGGACTCTAGAGAAAAATACAGAATACCTGGTCACTTCGAAGCCTTATTTCATTGTCCTTTGTGGTAACACCTCCTTCCCCTATCTATTCCTCCTGGGATTTTTTTCTGATCCCTCCTTTGCATGCCTTTGGTGAAGATGGTTCTCCAGTAATCAGTGGATTTAAATGAGAGGCCGTGGTAACTTGAGGTTGTGGCAGTGACCAGTTCTCTGGTCCACGTGTGGAGGCACGTCTGCCTTACAGAAGGTGTGTATGTGTAGGCATGTCTGCCTCACAGAAGGCATGTATGTAGGGTTGGTAAGGCTAGCTCTCAAAAAGCTTAATTTAAGATGGAATGCCTTCTCTTGTCTCCATTCATTTGTTACCTTACCTCTTGAGGGTTTTTGTTATTTATCATCTATGGGAATTGGAGGTTTTCTAAACTCAAAATGCCAAAATTGCCTCTAGGTCTTACTTGACTACAATCTTGTGAAAGTCAAATCTCTCCCAAACTCTCTTTCTATACTGTACTTTAACTCAGATTCACAATGCAAGGAGATAAGGCTGATTTGCAATTAGGAAATCATGAGGCTTGAACTAGTGTTCTACAGCTGAGCCATAACTCCGCATCTGGCTTTCGTTTGGTAGTTTTTAGAGATAAGAGTCTCACAGGCTTTCCTGACAGGTCTGCCTTTAAACTGGGATCCTTAGATCTCAGCCTCCTGAGTAAGTAGGGTTACAGGTATGAGCCACTGGTTCCTAACGAGGAAATGAATCATTCTTTTTGCTAGAGATTTCCATTTTAAACTCAGATTAATCTCTCATTGGTAGGCATATTTGCTTCCAATAATCGCTGTCACAAATCATCACAAATGTGGGTGGCAGTTTTCAGCAACACACATTTATTGTGATCAAAGTGTGGTGACAGGATGTAATGCTTTCTGGAGGTTGTTGGGGGAGAGTCTATCTTCTGTGTTTTCCACTAATTTTGGGGTGTACTGGGGCCTAGTACTTACAAGGTAAGCACTACTATTTGAGCCAGTCCCCAGCCCTTTTTGTTTTCCATTTTAGTTATCTTTCAGGTAATGTCCAGGGCCAGCTTTCTACCATGAGCTTCCTACCTATAGTCTTTTTTTTTTTTTTTGTCGGTCATGGGGCTTGAACTCTGGGCCTGAACACTGTCCCTCAGCTCTTCAGCTCAAGGCTAGCGCTCTACCACTTAAGCCACAGTGCCACTTCCGGTTTTCTGAGTGGTTTATTGGAGATAAGAGTCTCACAGAGTTTCCTTCCTGGGCTAGCTTTGAAGCACAATCCTCAGATCTCAGCCTCCTGAGTAGCTAGTATTACAGGTGTGAGCCACTAGCACCTGGCTCCTACCTATAGTCTTACACATAATTGGGACCGTAAGTGTGTACCACTATATCCAGCTTTTATTGGTTATGATGTGTCTTGCTACAGTCTTCCCAATCTCTGCCTCCTGAGAAGCTGTAATTACAGGCCTGAAGCACCATGCCTGGCTAACTTATTCTAACTTCTAAAGACTGCTGGCTTTCCTTGGCTTATGATCAAAACAAGGGACACTATATCTCTGACCATTCTTCTGCTGCCATACTTCCCCTGACTGCCACCTGAAAAAGACGCACCTGATTATGTAGGACCCCTGTAATGATCTTGCCATCTTAAGGTCTTAATTTGGTCACACCTTTCAGGTCCCACTGCCAGTTAAAAGTACATTTTCATGTTTTAGGCATTAGAGCATTGACGTCTTTGAGGGTTGTTATGCCAAGGACAGAAGAGTTTTAGGTAGTCTGTGGGGAATGTCTTTATATGAGTTTCTTCTTACTAAACATGCTTTAGCTTCTCATTAAGCTAATGCCTCTCACCTAAAATCTTAGCTACTTGGGAGGCTGACTGGGAAGACTGAAGCTTGAGCCAACCTGATCACACATGCAGGAACCCCTTCTCAGCCAATAGCTGGGTGCAGTGGTGCATGTTTATCATCTCAGCTACTATGGGAAGTTCAAATGAGCTGACACAAAATTAGGGACACACCTGGGCTAGAAGCAGGACCAGTACAAAAGAGGATTAGAGGAATGGTTGAGCAAGAGAGTATCTGCCTAGCAAGCGTGAGACCCTGAGTTCAAAATCCCAATGTTACCAAAAAAAAGAAAAACATTGTTCACTACTCTGTAAGATGAGAAAAGGAGAGTACAACTTTTTTGATTTTTTTTTTTCCCAGTGGTGGGGCTTGAACTCAGATCTGAGCACTGTCTCTGAGCTAGTGCTCTTCCGCTTGAAGCCATAGCTCCACTTCCGTTTTTCCTGGTGGTTAATTGGAGATAAGAGTAGTATGGACTTTTCCTGCCTGGGCTGGCTTCAAACTGTGATCCTCAAATCTCAGATTCCTGAGTAGCCTGGATTATAGGCATGAGCCACTAGTGCCCAATGCACAATGTTATTTTTAGTCCTCTGGTGGAAAACCATCCCAGAGATCACCAGAGAACAATAAAAGGCTTTGAAACTAAAGGCCTGGATATCTTTGTTCCAGTGCCAGCATATCAAGAACAAGTTTATAGTCATCTTTTGTTTAGAATTCAAACCAGAACAAATCATGTGATAAAGGCTATCATATATATATGTAGCATGCGTGTATTTTTGTGCGTATAAAATTTTCATACATAAATTCATGATGTGTATAAATGCATAACGCTTGCCACATATATACTAATGTATACATATACATCTTTTATACATATGCACATTTACCACATTGGCTTATGATAAGGTTAATTTTCTTATGGTACTTAAACCATACATATACACATACTTTTAGCCTTTATGATTTATATAGCATGCTTGAAACTTAAATAGCAGTAGCACAGAACATTGGGTTGGGGAGGTGAAAATTACTTGTCTTTTCTCCTGGTTGGTGTATGTATAAACTCTTAAGTAGACAGTCAGGAGAAAGAAAAACAACTAATTTATGGAATTTCCCTGTAGAAGATGCTTCTCTTGGAATGTTCTTGCTTTTATGAGTTTCCCATCTTTGAATGTGTAACATACAAGCAAACTGAATGAGTTGTGATGTAGCTCTACAAGAGAAAGTGGCATTTCTATTGGTTCACATGTCTGTTGGTTAAATTAGGGAGCAGGCCTTCATTGATACAGTATTTTCTTCTGGTTTAATTTTCAGAGCAATCCTAGTGGCCCGGCCTGGTCCTGGTGGATCCTGGCAGTGCTGCCACTGGAGCGCAAGGCTCAGCTGGCCATCCTTGGCATGACCTCTCTGAAGGAACGTCTGCTTGCCATCCGACGCATACTAGTCATCATCACGCGTAAGATGAATAATCGCCAAGAGGTGGCTCCCAACAAGGAGAGAAATAACTGATTTTCTTCTTCTGTTATGGTTTCTGGAAGCCCCTGTCCATTTATGAGTGCCGGGCATGGACAAGTACCCATCAATTATTGTGCTCTGTAAAATGTTCATTGATAAGATTACCAAATGGGACACTTAACCAAACACTTAATACCCTCTCACAATTGCCAAGTTTGTGCCTGGTGGAATCTGTTGCTGTAAAAGGTTAGCCTGAAGTTCAGATAGAGCCCAGGGTTGGAAAGCCACCTAAGAAAATCACTTGGAAGCAGATGTTTCAGGAGGTCACTGGCGGCAGGGAACAGCACAGATGGCATATAGTGGCTTAGGGTCCACAAGAAAGGAGAAGCTGTTCTAGTCAGTATCTCACCCTGCTAAATGGAAAAATGCATGTATCTGTGGCCAGACAATAAGAGGAAATCATGTTTTCATGTGGAAACAGATGGGTTAGAACACAGGCTGACCAAAGATGCACTTAGGCTTCGTGTGTTGCTGTAAAGTTGTCTGTGAACTTAAGGAATCAAACCCTTGTCCAGTGCCAGGAGCTAAAATGAGTCCTCACCCAAGAAGTAGCAATTACTGGATAGAACTGTGTTTACTGTCCTGTTTTAGTCCCAGGTGTTGTAAATTGCATGTTGTATTCATTAACAGTGTCAAAAATACAATACGTTTCATGGATATAGCAAAGTTGGAGAATAGTATAGTGAACTTGAGACTATATTTACACACTCTGAATAAACAGTGAGTTAAAACTATAAATGCATTGGGATGTCAAACATGTAGCCAGACTAGTACAGAAACCCTTGAAAGTGTAACTGTTCTCATCAATTGATTGCGTACTAAACATTGAGGCCAGTCCTCTTTTTCTGCCAGGATTTTCATGAGAAATTAGTCTCATCAGTAAAATTTATGCTACTATCCTTCCACTAATATATGAAGACATTAAAAAGCTGTCATAAATGGTAAAGTCTGTCTATTCTGAGGAAATGTACCAGAATATGCAAGAATAGGTGGTTGATAAAGGGTAAATATTTAGGTTTCTCCAATACCAAACTAAAATGGTGACTTTTTAAACAAAGTTTTATGTTTATTAGACCATGAATTACCAGTTAAAGAACAATGGGTATAACTTCCAACCTGTGATGTATGCTGGTAATGCTGGTTGGAATAACTATCGATCTGAGATGTGCTCACTGTCCTAGCCAGGTGCTGAGAGTTTGCTTCTTAGTTTATGAGGTGGGCATCCACTGAAGGAAAGTGTGAACTAATGGGCACATGACAATTGCGAGCTTTGCCCTCTTCATTCAAGGTATGTGATCTTCAAGTTTTAAAAAGTGTATTTCACAATAGTAAATGTCGATGGGTTATCAACCCATTAAGCATTAGAAAGACCTTATAATATTTATAATTTGATGTATTGTAGGAGTTTTCAGCAGTTAAAACTTAAGTGAGGTCATGGGAGTTAGAAAATACATTAGTGAAACTTAACTATACAGCAGAACATTTAGAAGTATTTGTTGACTCAGTGTTTCAAGTACTTATGTAGTATTTTCTTAAGCCATGTAGCCTAATTAATCTGACCACTTAAAAAACAAAACTGCTTTTCATGTGCAGAGATCTTTACTAGAAGCTATTCCTAGAAAGTAATAGATATTAGCCACTCTTCTCTAGAATTTATTTTATATTTTAATAACATATATGAAGAATTGTAGCTAGACACCAGCGGCTCATGCCTGTAATCCTAGAGCTACTTAAGAGACTAAGAAAGAAGATTGCTCTTCAAGGCCAGCCTGGGGGAAAAAATTCCACAAGGGCAGGAGTACTACCCTTGTTGCTTCCTAATAGAGGAGCTCGATCCAGGAGGTGTTTGGGCATGGAGGCTCTGGGTTGGTTAATTTGCTTAAGGAATGTGTGCTCTCAAGCATCCTCTGCTATGTAAGAATTGACAAGCAGATGGGAGAATATGATAAAAGGGATGACGTTGATCAAGATGCAGTGTACTCATAACCTCATGGAATTGTAACCTCTTTGTACAGCTACTCAATAGTAAACCATATATATATTTTAAAGAATTGACCAGCCCTGGTAGGGACATTCTTTTCTTTGTCAGGAAAGCTCTGACATAAAAATTATAACCAAAACATCAAAAATTATAAAAACATGATTAGTTCAAACTTGTTCTAGTATTTCTGGAGAGAGATTTATTTTTTCAAAATGATTTAACTGTTTTTTTGCAAAGGAGAACTGAAGATTGTTGTAAGTTAAGTTTAACCAGGTTGATTTCAGCAAGAAATAGGTTCTAGAACCAGTCAGAACTCTAGACCCACACTCTAGACTGCCTCTCCCTAAGACAGTGAGTTGTTTTCCAATCAGAAAAGCAGATATTATTTGATTGGTGCAGTCCAGTATTTTCCTTATCTGGGAGCCTTTCTTCTGGGATTGGCTAGCATTTCAGCTGCTATGATTGGTCAAGACCCAGTTGCTTGCTCACCAGGATATACACTTAATTACAATTTGCTCGAACATCAAGCTAAGTTACAATTAACTGTATGTGGAGCTGTCCTAGACCAAATTTCATCATCCAAGTATGGAGTCAGTTTAAGACAACTATAATTTAAGAGTTCCCCACTTTGGGTCATCCTTTTAGTCCTTACAGAGATTAACCAAAACCATAGTCAGGGGAATGACACCATTTTCTGCATCTACCACAGTGAATCTACTTGATCAGCCTAGTTCAGAATTGGCAATTTAATACTGTTCTAGATGACTCTTACATTTTTGTTATTTCATCTGCAATGAAACCATTTGATATTAATACTAAAATATTGCAGTAACCAAAAGAATGAACTCAAAGTGACACAGTTGCTCTCTCAGTCAAGTTAGGAACATTAGCGCTGAATTGTATCCAGGTCTTAATTTATAAAAGTACTTAAAACTTCTAAGCACTACACGGTATACATTGCCAAGAAACTTTCCAGAAGGCAGCAGTGAGCTGAGCCAAATAGAAGACCTGAACCAATAAAGAGGCAGAACAGAATAAGCAGATTCTCCACAAACCCAGTGTAGGCCTCAGGAACTGGAAATGAGGACCACTTACTGATATTTGAGCAAGAATCATTTCTCTACTTGCTCATAAGACTGCCCATAAATATAACCAAAGTGCAATGGGAAAAGTGCTCTAACGTACTTTCTCTATCACACATTGAAGATGTATAACCACATTTGTCATTAAGGGCACCTTCTAATTTTAGTCAAGTGGCATATATAATCAGTCATTCAAAACCACGTAGACAGCCTGAGTATAGGTTAACTAAAAGTACAATATAAGACATGCCTCCTAGATGCTACCTGGACAAATTTTCTTCACTTTGTAACAACCAGGTTACTATTGGAAAGGGCAGAGTGCTACTTCCAGCAAACCTAGGAAGCAAAGGCAGTAGTGATGTTGAAGCTCTCCATTTTTCCTTTGGAGTTTTGGAGTATTTCCCATCAGAATCCTGAAGAATAGATATTAATGGAATAGCTTCTTGATTTTGTGGAGTTAGTCTACAGACTTAATCATTTTGGTTCTTGCTAGAGCATAAATCTTTGCAGACATCAGCAGGTTATTTCATTGTGGGGAAATGGAAGAGGTTAGAGGAGCCAGAAGAAAGAAAGATAAGGCCTTCAGGGTAACAGAAATTTCTATCTAAGATCATGAGGAAGCTGTTTAGCTTTACCTTAAAATCCCTACCAGGTAGATAGACAATCGCCCTTTTTTATCTGTGAGATACAGACCATGATTGGAGTCCTGAACCACTGTTGAAGAGTAGGGGTCAGAAGAACTTCCAGCCAAGTTTAATGGCAACCATCCTCTAGTGTCACTTTGCAAAGACTTAAGACTCCCACAGTCACGGTCCTTACCATCACCTACCAATAATTGGAAGTAGAACAGTTGAGTTGCAGTGGCTCAGATAGAAATGATGAGGAGCTGAAAGAACTTTCTAAGATGGCTGTCTAATTACTGAGAAATACTGATTTTTGAGAGACACTAGGATGTCCCACAGCCTGGAGAAAACTGAAAGAGCTCATTCCACTTGAGCCACAGCACCACTGAGATGCAGCCTCTAGCAGTTAAGTTCAAAGCCACGTTCCGTTGCAAGTAATGCCATTTCTGTCCCTGCAAAAAATAATTCCTTAATGAAGTTTGTAACACTGTTTCTGGGTAAACTCTTTAATCTGGAACTGGTTCATCCATCTTTTGGCTGCAGGATTATCATGGACCAATCAATTTTCTGTAGAAAAACTTTAGAATTGAATTTTATAGGTTCTTAGCAGTTTTACTTGGTGATCTGGAAAAATTTGGGAAGGTCTTTATCTCTTTAGATTCCTTCTGTTTTGTTTCTGTCATAAACTTTCCAATTTCCCTAGGTCACATTATCCTGTGAATAACTTGGGAAAGCTGCTGCAAGAATTCTAAACTCATTGGTAATGTTTTTTTTTTTTTTTTTTTTTTAGAATTATTCTTTCAGACTGGGAAGTTTCTTATAGTGTGACTCAACTTTGCCCTAGATCATGGGTAGGGAACATCTGGTCTGTGGGCTACATAAGACCCATGAAATCATGTGCTTCCTGATGGGACAGACATGTATGTTTTTTTTTCTCACCAGCTGCTTGAAGTTGTCTGCCTGTATTGATTATTTTGTATGCTCTCTAATGATGTTATAAATCTTCAAATGGCCCTTGACAGAAAAAAAAAACAGTTCTCCATCTCTGCCTAAACCATGGAAAAGTCAGTTAAAACCAACAGATTTGGCCAAAAGGCCTCACTTTATTATAAGGCTATGTTTAACTTATTATTTCTAAGAGGGAAAGGCAGCTGGGCTTATCATGGTCAGTGGCCTCAGTATTTAGGAAAGATGAATGGAAACTAAGTGCTTATCAGCACATGAATGGGTAAAGAAAATGTGGTATTATATATACATGAGGGAATATTATTCATTGCGTCATATCCAGGAAAACTGATGGAATTGGCCATGTTAAGCAAAATAAACCAGGCTTAGACAAATACTCCATTTTCTCTCACATAATGAATTTCAGAGGAGGAGGACCAGAGAGCAGGGAGGAGCCAGGAAGAGAATGATAGGGGTGAATAAGATCTATCTATCTATTACCATAATGAAACCCATTACTTTTTACAATGAATTGAGTTTTTTAAGCTGGATAGGGAGGAGTTGTTAGAGTTTAAATCTAGTTGAGGTCCTCTTTTACCCTGTCCTTGTCTGTTACTTGGGTTTTTCTGAAGAAGCTTTCAAGGAACAAATTTTTGATTCATGTAGTCTTTTGGATGCTTCTCCATACCAATTAAAGAGTGCATCCCACTAGCTTAGTGGGGGTGTTTATTGTTTGTTTTTCTATAGATAGCAAGTAAACAATTCTGACTTCCCAGTGACCCTCGAATTTTCTAAGCTGTTTTCTAGATGATACGTTTTCCTAAAATATGCAGATTTGTGCCCATAATTCTGATACATAAACCTAGCTAGTGTTCTGAAGTATGGATTATGATGATCCCATTATCAAAAATAAAAATTTGAGGTCAGGTACCAGTGACTCATGCCTATACTCCTGGGTACTCAGGAGGCTGAGATCTAAGGATCCTGGTTTGAAGTCAGCCCATACAGAAAAGTCCATGAGACTCTAACTTTTTTAAAAAAATATTTTTAAGTAGTTGTGCAAAGGAGTTGCCATTCAGCAAAGCAGTTTATGAATACAGTGCATCTTGATCTCTTAATCCCTAGTTATCCACCAAAAATCCGGAAGTGGAGCTGTAGCTCAAGTGGTAGAGCACCAGCCAGGAATGGAAAAGCTAAGGGACAATGCCCAGAGCCTGAGTTCAAAGCCTCAATACCTATTATGACCTTTAACTGAATCCAGTGCAATCAGCTGTCAAAAACACTTTGCCTCTGAGCCCAGTTCAGATTCTAACTAACCTACTCAGACTCCTATGGCTTCTTTTCTGAAATCCAAGTCAGTAAGTTAAGAAAAAGAAGAGAGAAAGGAAAGAAAAAGTTTAGATAAACTTGGAGAGCTTAGAACTCAGAGTGGAGCTTGCGATAAGGGGAGGAAACTTACCTGTACTATATCTAGGTGTCTTGAGAAGCCATAGGGTTCAGAGGGCCCTAGTGGGTCTCTTGTATTAGCCACTGAGTGAACCCGTGGATTCTGGAAGCTCTACTTTGCAGCCCACTGACCACACCAAAAGGAGAATGCAACTACATTTAAATTTAGTAGGTTATTTTTGAGCAAGAAGTAAAGTTTTTAATTGGGCAGCATACCAACCCAAGATGGTGCAGAATGTTACCCCCAACATTTTAGACAGAAAAGGGAAGGAATTTACAGAGATGATAAATTGGTGCAGTTCAGTGTTTACTTTATTTGGCATGCAGTCACTTAATACTTATGGAGACACAAACTGGGAGAAGTGTGGTTAGGTGATTTTGTCACAATATGAGCAACATAAGAGTGTTCTAACATAAACCAAGACAGCTACAATGTCACTAGGTGATGCAACGTCATGGGACCACATAGAATATGCTACAACTGGTTTATGTGTCAAGCTAGATTGCAATTCACCACATACTAAGAGACTAAGTCAAATTTTATCATTCAATACAGAGGCTAGTTTGAGCAGGGATGGGCCTGGGTCTGCTGGTACCAGCTTGTGTCTACAGAACTTCAACATCAGAACCACTTCCTGCAGTCCTGCAGCTGTAAGTTATCAGGGCAAGGTGGGGCCAGGAAGGCCAGATGAGTTCCGGTGGCATTATGGCAGACCCCACCCCAAATTAGAGACTGAACCTTAGTAAGAAAGACACCAAGGAAGTTGACTGTCAGTCACAAGGCTAGATTGGCGTATGTGGTCTTTGAGGAGGAAGATGGAGTTGTAATGTAAGTATCTCTAACCTTTTGCTTTTCAGCAATCATTAAAAAAAATTGCTTTGGGGCCTTTGGTATTTGCCATGCTATTTTAACTTTAATAGTTTTGTCCGCTTTTGTACTATGTATGGTCTGATCAGTGGCTGGCTCGTCTTTCATACTGCTCATCCTACCACCCTCCATTTTCCACTGAGCCCTGGAAAAAGGTTGCTGTGTTGAAAATTTGTATGTTTATGTATTAGTGTCATTAGCAACTTAATTTTGTAGTTGTGGGATGATTTTTCCATTTAACAATTTGATGTGCATTTTTTTCTACTTAATTAGAAGAGCAGATTTGAGCAAAAAGTTGATGTAGATGAACTTAAAAATCATGGTTTTACCTGTTGAGAAATTAGTGTATTGTCACATTCATATAATACCAAGTGTTTATCTGACTTTCTGTTTCCTAAGTTTAAGTCTGGGATAAAGATGTTAAAAACAATATTTGCTATTTGTCATTACTTAAGTGAGGCCACATTTGAATGTTGCAATATTTACTTCATTGTGTCTGTGTACTGTTCACTTTAGTTGGAATTGTATATTTAATATGTGATATTTGGAGTAAATAAAACTTGCAGTGTTGTAAATGTTATTTAATAAATACTCATGTGCAAATGACGTAAAATGACTAGAACTAGATCAAATTCAGCTCAGTCTAATCCAGGACAAATTCAACCTAACTTGATTACATTTGCAAAGACAGAATATTGGATTAATTCCTGTGGTTGGCTTCCAAACATAGAATTTTCTTCTTCACAGTTCTGGAAATCAGAAGTTCAAGGCCAAGGTATTGACAGAATCATATCTCCTTTTACATATGTGGAGTCTCTTCTAACTCCTAGAGGTTGCTGCAGGCCCTGACCTTCCAGGGCTTGTACATATCCGCAGTCTGTCTTCATTACCAGGGCCTCCTCCCTCCAAGTCCAGATGTCCGTCTCCTATGTAAAGAAGTAAGTTACTAGATTTGGAGTGCAAGCTAATTCAGTATGAACACCACCTAATTTTATTTATTATATCTGCAGAGACATTGTCTCCAAGTAAAGTCACAGACACACATTGTTCAGAGGAGCTTCAGCTCAATTCAGATGTTAAATTAGTCCAACTTAAATCACTAGTAATAAAAGGGAAGAGGCTTTACTATAATTACATTTTAAGATCTGTTCTATCCAGGGTAGTTAAGAACTGAAACCTATATAGCTATTTGGGGGGGGGGCATGGAGGAGGTTTGAGATAAGGAATACAAAATTATAAGTAAAGAGTTAACTATGAAAATACATATTTAGGGGCTGGGAAGGTGCCTCAAGTGGTAGAGTGCTAGCCTTGAGCTGAAGAGCTGAGGGATAGCACTCAGGCTTAGAGTTCAGGCCCCATGACTGCCAAAAAGAAAAAAAATATTTATTTAGAAATTTTAAAAGAGTAATTTTTTTGGTGATGTATTGTGTTTATTGATTTATGTATATTGAAAATGAGCCTTGCATCTCTGGTATGAAACTGACTTGATCATAGTGAGTGATTTTTTTTGGCTAGTTGTTGAATTCAGGTAGAAGATATTTTATTAAGGAGCTTTATGTATGTTCATCAAAGAATTTGGTCTATCTCTTTTTACAATGGGTCCCTTCCTGATTTAAGGATGAGTGGATTTCTGGACTTGTAGAATAAGTTTGGTAATGATCTTTTCCTTCCTATTTCATGCAAAAG